GCTCCTGGAGAATAAGATATTCAATACCGCCACCTTTACCTTAGCGATACTTACCATTTTTATTGCCATTGCCACACTAAACGCTACCAGTAATGCTACTGCTTATATGCCTTTAGCGCTGGCTCCGCTGGTCTTCAGTTTCTTTTTTTACAATTCCCGTATACGCGAACATTTTAAGAGTACTTCTTACTTTTTTATCGTTTTCAGTCTGGTGTTTTTTGACTATGTATGGTTTGCAGCTGTGGCTTTTAATCAGGCTGTAGACCTTCTTTTTATGATTGTCCTCATCCTGGGGCTTACTATTCTCCCGGTAAAAAAACACTTAACTTTTACCTTGGTGTGCATCGTTAATATTCTATTAATCAACTGGCTTGCTCACCTTTTTCCGCATTGGATATATCCTTATGAAAGCGCTACCTCTTTCATGTTATACTTAAAAGGGCACGCCTTTTTAATTGCCTGTATTATACTCGTGGCTCTGGTAATAGCTTATTTTAAAAAGGCTTATGAAAAAGAAAGGTTGGTCTCGCGGGATCAAAACAGAAAGCTGAGTAACATTAACCAGGCACTAAACCACCGGAATGAGCACCTGGAGACCCTTGCACGCATGGTCTCTCATAATCTACGCTCTCCTATAGCCGGTATGAAGATGCTACTCAACATTTACGAGCGCATGGAAACTCCGGAGGAAAAAGAGGATATTGTGGAGAACCTGAGGGAAGGCGCTTTTACTCTTTTTGATATGGTAGAAGATCTCTCCTCAATTATGCTGGACTATAAGGAACTCAATAAAGAAAAGGAGCTGGTTGATTTACACGAAGTCGCTTCAACTATAGTTTCTCAGTTATCCGGACAGATAAAATCTTCGGGGGCTCGTGTGAAGTTGGATTTCAGTGGCTACCCGGAGGTAATTTATTCTAAAACCTACCTTGAAAGTATTTTCCTGAATCTTATTTCCAACGCGCTAAAATACCGCTCACCTGAGCGTGACCCTGAAATACTGGTGAAGGGTTATCGTGAAGATAATAAAGTAATGTTATCCGTAAGTGACAATGGCCTGGGGCTGGACCTAAGCAATCACCGGGAGCAACTCTTTAAAATGTATAAAACCTTTCACCGCGATGCAGGAGCAGACAGCAAGGGTATAGGTCTCTTTATTACCAAAAACCAGGTGGAGATGATGGGTGGAAAAATTACGGTTGAAAGCAAGCCCGATGCCGGTGCTACTTTCTTTGTAGAGCTTTACCGTATTTAGGAAATTTTACTGAGCAACAGTTTGCGGTTGGAGCGGCTTACCGGCAGATTAAAATACTCACCTATAGCATAGCCTTCCACCACTTCTTCCACCTTTTTAAGGTTAAGGATATAGGATTTATGCACACGCAGAAAATCATCTTCCGGCAGTTTGGCCATAAAAGCCTTCATGGTACTGTGCACCACATAATTCTTATTAGCAGTTACCACCTTTACGTAATCTCCCATCGCTTCAACGTATTCAATCTCAACGGAACGAAGCTTTACAAGGGAGTTGTCTGATTTAATGAAAATATGATCATCCTCCTGATGGCGGAAAAGATTGTCCTCATAAAAACGGGCACGCTCTACTGCCTGGCTGAAGCGTTTTATGTCCACCGGCTTGGCAAGGAAATCTGTAACATCATACTTAAAAGCCTCAAAAGCGTACTTTTTTTCTGAGGTTACTATAATTACCTGTGGTACATTGCGAAACGATTCCAAAAACTCCAGCCCAGACATCTCAGGCATCTCAACATCCAGGAAAATAAGGTCTACATCCTTCTTATCAAGTGCTACTTTACCTTCAATGGCATTGGGGTAGCTTCCCAGTAAACGAAGGTCTGATGTTTTGGAAACACAGTTCCTGAGGAGATCCCTGGAAAGAGGGTCATCGTCAATAATGATACAGCTAAGCTCAGTCATAAATCAAAAAGTGACAGCAAAATAAGCAAAACCGTACGTTATTAGTAAATCTTTTTCATGAACATAACCAATATTTGAGTCAATAACCGGTTCCCTTTACCTTTGGCCTATGCGAATTGATAAATTTTTATGGTGTGTGCGGAAGTTTAAAACCCGCAGTCTGGCTACAGAAGAAGTTCGCAAGGAGCGGGTTCTTATCAACCTGGAGCTGGCTAAACCGTCCCGCACGGTTAAGGTGGGTGATTCCCTAACTGTAAAGAAAGAAGGTATCTCTTATTCCTTTAATATCCTGGATATCCCAAAATCAAGAGTGGGGGCTAAACTGGTGGATACCTACGTTAAGGATACTACGCCCGCAGAAGAAATAGAAAAAGCAGAAGTTATACGATTAATGAAAACTTTTAACCGTAAAAAAGGTACCGGGCGCCCTACTAAAAAAGACCGCAGGGATATTGATCGCCTCAGGGACGAATAAGCGGCTTTAAAACCTCAACCAGGGTGTCGGCAGGAATGGTATGCCCTCCTTCAAAACGGGTAAGCTTAGGCTCAAATCCTTTTTTTTGTAAAAAAGAAAGGTGTTCCTTCAAGCGCTCTTCAGAAATATACTCATCATCGGTGCCCATTACCATTTGCAAAGGCAGTTTGTGCATGCGCTCCAGGGCTTTTTCAAAGTTCAGGTCAGGAGGGAAAGCGCCCGCCCAATTGATCATATAGTCAAAATGGTAGCCGGTATTGGCCAACCAACGGCAAGCCGTGGCCACACCCTGTGAAAAGGCCAATAAACCCACGGATTGAGGGGTGCCTGTTTTATCAATGATCTGTGCATATACCTGATCCAGAAAACCGCAATAATCTGAAATATCATTCAGCCGGTCTTCTTTAGTCATCCAGCTGGCACCAACCCTATTGCGGTTCTCGGGAAGATAAAAGCGATGCATTCCTTCCGGGGCAACAAACAACGTGTTTTCCAGCTCCGGTTGTTGGAATTTACGGATAAAGTAAGAGGCCAACTGCCCATAACCGTGCAATACAAAACAAATCTTGTTATACACGCGGTCGGCAGATCCGCTCAGGTAATAACGGCCGGTTTTTTCAAATTTAAGATACCGGACGTTCAAGCCTTAAAGTTGGCTTTACGCTTTTCCAGAAAAGCACGTGTGCCTTCTTTAAAGTCTTCTGTGCCAAAGCACTTACCAAACTCTTCTATCTCTACTTTAAAGCCGTTCATGCCGAACTTAAAGCCCGCGTTTACACTTCGTATAGCACTTTGAATAGCCTGGGGCGAATTTTTGATCATTTTAACCGCCATAGCCTGGCAACTTTCCATCAGTTCTTCAGGTGCCACCAACTGATTCACCAAACCGGTTTCATAAGCCCGGTCAGCTTTGATCATCTCAGCGGTACATATCATTTCCATAGCGCGACCTTTGCCCACCAGATTTGCCAGCCGCTGGGTTCCCCCATAGCCGGGTATTACTCCAAGCCCGGTTTCCGGCAAGCCCATACGGGCATTGGTAGAGGCTATACGCACATGGCAGGCCATAGCCAGCTCCAGCCCACCGCCCAGTGCAAAACCATTTACCGCAGCAATTACGGGTTTATTCAGGTTCTCCACCAGGTCAAAAAGCATATCATGGCCACGGGCAGCCAGTTCCGTACCTTCCTGTACGTTAAAGTCTGCAAATTCTTTAATATCCGCTCCTGCCACAAAAGCTTTCTCCCCACTGCCGGTAAGTATGATCACCCGAACATCAGGGTTGCTCTCCAGGTCCTTAAATGCGGTATTCAATTCTTCAATGGTAGCCCGGTTAAGTGCATTGAGTTGCTGAGGCCGGTTTATGGTAAGTGTGGCTATTTGGTTGTTTATATCTTGTGTAAGAGTGCTATACGGCATTTTCTAAATTATTTAAGTTCAAAAACTACGTTTACCCGGGCTGAGATCCGCAGCTCTCCGGGCGCAATAGAGGCCTCAGCATCTTCCATAGCCATACTTGACTTGAAAGCTACCGGGCTTGGTCCGGAGCTGGAAATGCGATCGGCAATATGTAGCGCGCGGCCCACGGTTTGGTTAAGTTGAGCAGCCAGAAAAATTGCTTTTTCACGGGCGTTTTTTACGGCCCTGGCCAATAGTTCTTCTTCCAGCTTTTCGCGTTTGGACGATTCAAAGCGTACCTGGCCAATGCCGTTAACGCCCCGCTCCATAAGGTCAATAATCACGTTCTGGTATTCACCGATATCCACTAATACAAAAGCAATGTTTTGCACCGCTACATAGCGATAGGTCTCCTTATTGTAATCCACCCTTTGTGAACGGAGGCTTACATAATTGGTTTCAATGGATTTTATGCTGTTTTTGGTTTTAAGATAGCTGAGCGCTTTGGAAGCAGCCTGTGAAGTTTTAGTCTGTGCAGCCTTGGGTGATTCATCTGAATTTTCAATTACAATCTGGATAATCACCTGATCCGGCTTTAAAACCTGTTCTGCCGTGCCGATTACGTCAATGGTTCGTTCTGATGCTTGTTGCGCTTTAAGGGATGTGCTGCCGCATAGCAAGAAAAGAGATACTACCAGCCAGGGTGCTATTTTCATAAGGTGCTGTGTTTTGAATTTCAGGTATGGGGTAAAGATAAAAACTGTGGATGTATTAGGCTAATTTCCACCCTGCCTGAAGCACTCCTTTCCTACACTATCAGCGCCCGAAGTTGTAGCGATAGGCCATTTGCAAACCAGCCACTGTATACGATTCCAGCTTTACTTGATTAAAACCCTCCGTCCATTGTACAGTGGAAATGGATAACTCCATCTCTGAGTTACTTCTGCGCCCCATATTGAAACTTACTCCTGCGCGGGGTGCTACGTGATATCCCTTTCTGGTGTTTCGATAGTTACTGGTGTACTCTATCCAGTCATTATCAGCCCTTCTTACCCTTGTGGTGGATGAGGCTCTGTAAATGTGATACCCTACACCTATTTCCGTACTTATAAAAATGGAGAAGCCTTCATCCCGATAATAAAAGGTTGGTGCAACAAATATATTCGCATTGTTCCACTTGCGATCGGAATTCACATAAGTCCTGGGACCCTGAGGGTCGGTTTCATCAACCACCTCCCTGTTTTGATAATAAGGCAGTTGGTACATAAAGCTTAAGCCGTACCGTAACGAGAAAAAAGACAGGTAATTTCTTTGATAGCTCGCCTGCAGACCAATACTCATGGTGCTTATTTTATAGGGATCCGGAGCACCTGTAGCTAAATCTGTAGTTTGAGAGAAAGCCGACTCCAGGCCGACCGCAAAACTATGGGGCTTTATACTCCTGGGCTTTTAACTGTAGCACTAAGACACCTATGAAAAGCGTAACACCAAATTTTAATGATTTCATCCTTATTTTTAATTAGTATTTATTAAATCTCATTTACAGTGTTTTGTCTGATAAAAATCAAAACTTGTTAGTTCAGATTCTCCTATTGTATTGTATACTACCCCTTCATACATTAAATATAGACATTGATCCTCTCCTAATAACTCCTCCCAATTACTTAAAGTAATCACTTTGACCCAGTAACCATCGGGTGGCAGAACCACTAATTCATATTCCTTAGCCTGTATCTGCCTGACGGGGTTCCTTGAAACATTTTTATCGTATTTATAAATCGAATCTCCACTCAAAAGAATAACCCAAGGGTCTATTAGGTAAGTTGTGTTAGACTGATTACTAACAATTATATTTAGTATTTTATCCTTTTCGTTAGCAGTAGCATTGGTTGTGACAATTCTAAAATTTAGTGAATCAGTTACATTACCAACTGCCTTTGCGGGATGGGGTTTATATATTTTAGTTAGAGAAATATGATAACAACCCGAAAGAGCCAAAACTCCTACAAAAAACAAAGTCTTAATAATTTTCACCTTAACCATATGTTTGGAATAAATCTTTGGGGAATATGATCTAAAATAAAGTATGATGTTGGAAACCCTCAAACCCCTTTTTGGGAGGTCAACCTATTTCAGGACTAGACAAAATTTCGTTTTATTCCTTATTTGAAGAAAGTGTTAAATAAAACGTAGTGCCCTTGCCTACTTCGGTTTCAAACCACACCTCTCCGCCAAAACCAGTAATGATATTTTTGACCATCGCTAAACCCAGCCCCATACCCTTGGTTTTGGTAGTAAAGCGTGGTTCAAATATTTTTTCCTTTTGCTCCTCAGGGATGCCGGTCCCATTATCGCTTACGGAAATAATCACTTTATCATCCTTTTTTTCCATCCGTATACGAATCCTGGGTTCCCGATCTTCGGGAATAGCCTGAAGGGCATTATTGATAAGGTTGTTCATTACCCGTACCAGTTGATCCTTATCGCCTTTCAGTTGAATGTTATGGTCTTCGGTCTCAAATTCTATACGGTACTCCGGATAAAGGGCTGTAGTGCGCTGGATGATCTCACGGGCAGCAAACTCCTCTGATTTTAACTCGGGCATACTGGCAAAGCGTGAAAAGGCTTCCGCAATACCGGTAAGGGTGTCAATCTGTGAGATCATACTTTCGGTAAACTCACGTAGTTTTTCAGGCTGCTCTGTTTTCAGGGTTTTTTCAAGATACTGCACATTCAGCCGCATCGGTGTAAGGGGGTTCTTGATTTCATGTGCCACTTGTTTGGCCATCTCCCGCCACGCACTTTCGCGTTCAGTTTTGGCCAGTATGGCGGCACTGGCTTCCAGCTCCTGCAGCATTCGGTTGTACTCATCCACCAGGGTGCCTATTTCATCGTCAAACTTCCATTTTAAGGGCACGTTGGACTGGTTGATGCGTATACTCTTGAGTTTTTGACCAACCGCCTTTAAAGAGCCTGTAATGTAGTTGGACAGAAAGTATGCTATGATCCCTGCAATAATGAAAAGAAAAAAATAGGTCTGGCTCAGGCGCATCAAAAACCGGTTCTGATCTTCTTCATGTATACTTTTAGTATCAAAATACGGCAGGTTGATAATGGCGATGGGTTCTTTACCAGAGTTATGTACATAGTCATAGGTAGACAGATACTGCATGGTATCCGTTTTACGCTTCACTAATAATTGTTCGGGCTTTTGGGCAATAGCGTTGAGCATGGTACGCCCCAGGTGTTCAGGTACTATATGATTCTGATACAACTCAGGGTTACTGCCAATCAACAGGTCGCCACTTAAACTGTAAATGTTTATATCCAGGCTATTGATATTCGCCAGCTCACAGATCTTGGTATCAAATAACTTTACAATACTATCCGTATCTGCACCAATGCTTTGATCTCTTAAAAAGTAATTGATAGATTCGTTAATAGCGTACTCCTTGCGCTTAAGCCGCTCCTGGTGATACAGCTCATTTTCCTTTTTAAAATGCTGGAAATAAATAGCGCCTGTAATGAAAAAGCTCACCAGAATGATGAGTATCATCGACATGAAAATACGGGCGCGTAAGGTAAGTTTGAAACGTTTCAAAAATGCTATTCGTTAAATACAACTTGAGGCTATCAAATCTAACGCCATTTTGGAAATGAAGGTAATTTTGAGAAAAGGTGGTGTTATTAAGCAGGTTGCCAGCTTGTTTTACAAGCGGTGTAAACAAAAACCCCGGCTTTTTCAAGCCGGGGTTCTCAAGAATAACTTCAATAAATTTTCTAGCCGTTGAGGGCTTCGGCACCGCCTACAATCTCAAGGATCTCATTGGTGATAGCTGCCTGACGGGCTTTGTTATACGAGAGCTTTAATTGTTTTCTAAGCTCAGAAGCATTATCGGTAGCTTTATGCATAGCGGTCATACGGGCGCCATGCTCAGAGGCATGGCTATCCAGTACAGCTTTAAAAAGCTGCGTTTTCAATGATTTAGGGATCAGGTCTTCCAGAATTTCTTCCTTGGAAGGTTCATAAATATAATCCGCCAACTGGCCGGAATGCTCATCCTTTTGAATTTCACGAACCGGTAACATCTGCTCCAGCTGCACGCGCTGTACAGCAGCATTTTTAAACTGGTTGTAGATCAACTGAATCTGATCGTATTCACCATTGGCGAACTTCTCCATTAAAGATTCAGCAATTGCACTTACATTTTCGAAAGTAATATCATCGTACAGGTTGTTGTGATGACCAATTACTTTCTCTCCCTTGCGGCTTAAAAGATCGTAGGTTTTTTTACCTATGGACAACACCTCATACTGGCGCTCCGGATGTGCCTGTATCTCCGCTAAGGCCTTCTTCATAATATTGGCATTAAATGCCCCGGCTAAACCACGGTTGGAAGAAATAGTTACCAGCAGCACTTTTTTCACTTGCTCGCTCTGGCGGGAGTACACTCCTTCACTGGCGTCAAGTGTCGCGCTAACGTTCATCAGGATCTCTTCCAGCTTCTGAGCATAAGGACGCATCTGCGTGATGGCATCCTGGGCACGCTTCAACTTGGCTGCAGAAACCATCTTCATGGCTGAAGTGATCTGCATGGTTGAAGATACCGAGGTGATCCTGTTTCTTAGTTCTTTTAAGTTTGCCATTGTGTTAGATTATGGATCTGAGAAAGAGGCTCAAATGCTTCTTTCTCAGATCTCAATACTAATATCTTGAAGTAAGGTCCTTTGCTACAGCTTCCAGCTTTTCTGTTACCTCATCGGTAAGTTTACCGGCCTTTAGCATATCCAATACATCACGGTGTTTGTTGTTCATGTATTGGGTAAACTCTACTTCAAACTCTTTTACTTTATCTACCGGCACCTTGTTCAGCAGACCCTTGGTTCCCAGATAAATGATCGCAATCTGGTTTTCTACTGCTACAGGGCTGTTCACACCTTGCTTCAGAATCTCCACATTACGCTTACCCTTGTTGATTACCGCCATAGTAGCTGCGTCAAGGTCAGAACCAAACTTAGCAAAGGCTTCAAGTTCACGGTACTGTGCCTGGTCCAGCTTAAGGGTACCAGCCACTTTTTTCATAGACTTGATCTGTGCACTACCTCCCACACGGGATACAGAAATACCTACGTTAATAGCAGGGCGTACACCCGAGTTAAATAAATCAGACTCCAGGAAGATCTGTCCGTCTGTAATGGAGATTACGTTAGTTGGAATGTAGGCAGATACATCACCCGCCTGAGTCTCAATGATTGGAAGAGCGGTGATAGAACCACCCCCTTTTACTTTTCCTTTCAGGGATTCCGGAAGGTCATTCATTTGAGAAGCAATGGTGTCATCATTAATCACCTTGGCAGCACGCTCCAGTAAGCGACTATGCAGGTAGAATACGTCACCAGGATAAGCTTCACGACCGGGAGGACGTCTCAAAAGAAGAGAAACTTCACGGTAAGCCACCGCTTGTTTTGACAAGTCATCAAACACAATCAGGGCAGGACGTCCCGTATCACGGAAATATTCAGCTATAGCCGCACCGGCAAATGGGGCATAAAACTGCATAGGAGCAGGGTCAGAAGCATTTGAGGCTACAATTACGGTGTAATCCATAGCACCTTTTTCCTCCAGGGTTTTGGCGATACCGGCTACGGTAGAACCTTTTTGACCGATAGCTACGTATACGCAGAATACCGGCTCTCCTCTGTCGTAAAATTCTTTTTGGTTAATGATGGTATCCAGCGCTACTACTGTCTTACCCGTCTGGCGGTCGCCAATGATAAGCTCACGCTGACCTCTACCAATAGGGATCATTGCGTCAATCGCTTTAATACCGGTTTGCAATGGCTCATTTACCGGCTGACGGTAAATTACACCTGGTGCTTTACGCTCCAATGGCATTTCAAAGGTCTCTCCTTCAATAGGCCCTTTGCCATCAATAGGGTTTCCCAGGGTGTCTACCACACGGCCTACCATACCTTCACCCACTTTTAAGGAGGCAATACGGTTGGTACGCTTTACGGAAGAACCTTCCCTGATATTTTCGTTAGCTCCGAGCAATACGATACCAACGTTGTCTTCTTCAAGGTTCAAAATAATCCCTCTCAAACCGGTTTCGAACTCTACAAGCTCACCGGCCTGCGCATTGCTTAAACCATAGGCACGGGCAATACCGTCACCTACCTGCAATACGGTTCCTACTTCTTCCAATTCCGATTCCGACTTGAAACCGGCCAGTTGCTGTCTTAAAATTGCTGAAACCTCAGCGGGTTTTACTTCTGCCATTTTGGATGACTTTTATTTAATAATCTGCTACGTATAAGTTATTCTTAAACTGCCTTTTCAGGATATCAAGCTGGTGAGATATGCTGCCATTATAGCGTTTATCACCCACACGGAGGGTAATACCACCGATAAGTGAAGAATCTACCACCTCGTCCATTTCAATTTGTTGACCGGTTGCTTCTGCCAGTTTTGCTTTCACCTCTGCACGTTCAGCATCAGAAAGCGCTACTGCAGTAGTTACCACGGCTTTTGAAATATCTTTTTTAATGCGATACAGTTCCTGAAAACCAAGTACAATGGCCTGCAAGTGCGACTCGCGTCTCTTGCGGGTAATAATGTCAATAAAGTTACTGGTAAGGTCGCCCAGCTGATCTTTAAAGATTGCATGATAAATAGCAATCTTCTTGTCTGCACTGATAATAGGACTTTTGATTAGGATACGAAATTCCTTTGACTCCTGAATAACGTTTAATACCTTCTCAATATCACCTTTCACTTCTTCTAATTTGCCCAACTCTTCGGACAAGTCAAGAAGTGATTTGGCATATCTTCTTCCCAGCTTCGTTATAGCCATCTTAATTCAATTTAAAATCTTTCAACTGATCCTGTACTAAAGCAGATTGCTTATCCTGGCTGCTCAATTCATCTCTAAGGATCTTCTCAGCTATCTGGATAGACATTTCAGCTACCTGGTTTTTCAACTCTGTGATAGCGGCCATTTTTTGGTTTTCAATTTGCTCTTGTGCCTGAATTAAGATCTTGTTGGCCTCTGTATTCGCCTTTTCCTTAGCTTCAGAGATAATACCTTCTTTGATCTCACGGGCTTCCTTCAGGATAGTGTCTCGCTCAACACGGGCTTCCTTCAGGATCTTTTCATTGTCTGACTTAAGTTGTTCAATTTCTTCACGAGCTTTTTCCGCTGTGTTCAAAGCATCCTCAATAGATGTTTCACGTTTTTCAACTGCGTTCAGGATCGGTTTCCAAGCGTATTTACGCAAAAGGAAAAGGAGTAGCAAAAAAAGCAATGTTTGCCAGAAAAATAATCCTACCGAAAAGTCATTTATTAATTTTTCCACGTCTAATTTTTTACGGGTGAATTAAAAGGCAGCAGCTGCAACCAACCGTTGCAGCTGCTTGCCAAAATCAATTATACTGCAAACAGGGCAGCAAAACCAATACCTTCAATAAGGGCAGCTGCAATAAGCATAGCTGTCTGGATCTTATTGGTAGCTTCGGGTTGACGAGCAATCCCTTCCATAGCTTTACCTCCGATCATACCGATGCCGATACCGGCTCCGATAACAACTAATCCTGCACCTACAATTGCTGGAATTTCCATAGTGTAAAAATTAACGGTTAATAAAAATCTTTAATTAATGATGTTCATGTTCTTCCACTGCCATCCCAAAATAAAGGGCTGAAAGCATGGTAAAAATATACGCCTGAAGGAAGGCTACTAACAATTCTATTACGGAAAGAAATAAGGTGAGTCCAAAGAATGCGCCTCTGGCAAACCAGTTCTGGAACAGAAACAACAGACCGATAAGACTCATCAATACAATATGGCCGGCTGAAATATTGGCAAACAAACGGATCATCAAGGCAAAAGGCTTAATGAATACACCTAAAAGCTCAATGGGAGCCAGAATAAATTTCATAGGTACAGGAACTCCGGGCATCCAGAAAATGTGTTTCCAGTAGTCCTTTTTGCCTGTAAACTGAGTAATAAGAAAGGTAAGAAGCGCCAGCGCAAAGGTTACGGCAATGTTCCCTGTAACGTTAACTCCAAAAGGCATAAGACCTACCAGGTTGGCAATCCAGATAAAGAAGAAAACCGTGAGCAGGAAGCTCATGTATTTTTTATAGTGCTTCTCGCCAATATTGGGAATAGCGATCTCGTCTTTTACAAACAACACCAAAGGCTCCATAAACTTGGCCACACCACGGGGCACCTGACTGTTCTTATATACTCTGGCTGTTCCTCTGAAGATCAGGAATACCAAAATGGAGATAATAATAATACTTGCCACACCTTTGGTAATGGAAAAGTCAAGCGGCTTGGCGTTGGTGGGGTGCCCTTCCTCATCCAAAGAAATATCTCCGGCTGCATTGGTATTATAAATCTTGCCGTGATACAGTGCATAATGCTCTCCGTTGCTCTCTACCACTTCTTCACCGTGATGAAAAGCTGAAGACATGAAAAAATGCAAACCATTATCCCAAAGAATAACGGGAAGGGGAAAGCCTACGTGAGTACCGCTTTCTTCATCTGTAAAAAGGTGAAAATCATGGGAGTCCTTAATGTGATGCTGGATATCCTCTTTGATAGTTTCCTTTAAGCTCTTTTCACCGTGCTCACCATGTCCATCACTGGCGCTGGCAAGAAAAGGCACTGCAAAGAGAAAAACGGCTACAATCCTCAGTGATTTTTTGATCTGCATGGGCAACGTTCAATAGTCGTTCTGAAATTCCGCGCAAAAGTAAGGATTAATCTTTATCCCCCAAGCAATTTTATATGCCGTTTTTCGGTGAGGGCCGATTAACGGTCTTTCGCTCCTAAAACCCTTATTAACGACTGAGTCTCAAACAGCAGGCAAGTAGCATAAGGAATAAAAAAAGTGAAGAACTCGGGCCTGGTCATATCTCCATCAGCCTTATATAAAGGATAAAAAAAGACAAAAAATAAAATGAATTTGAAACCACTTCCAAGCATAAAAAGAAAACCCAATGCGTGTTTCAGATTCTCCGGAGCCTTGATCAGAAATATAGTAATGGCCAGCGCCAAAACAGTATTACTTATGTAAGCGGCTGAAATAGAATGTGCCCAAAGCGAACCTCCTTGCAGGTAGCGAATCAAAAGATGAATCCCAAAAGCCAGGGTAGAACCTCCGATTAATTTTAAGCCGGGCCTGAGAATTTCCAAAACGGAATTATTTATTCATGCTATTAAGCTGCCGCAGCACATAGACCATAGCCAGAACCAGCGACACCAATACACACAGCAAGGTAAACCACTTGCGGTTGCTGGGGTATTTTTCATCCAGCCAGCTTCCAAACCAGGCTCCCCCGCCTACTATAACCGCCATTTGAATGCCTAAGCTTGAATAGCGGGCGTATGTATTAAGCTGTTTCTTCCCTTCGTGCTCTTCCTTCTTCGGAGTCTTCATCCTTCTTTATTTCACGCACCACAGACCCCATGCTACAGGAGCCTGTAAACTCTGCTCCTGGTTCTATGGAAAGTTTATTGGTAACAATATCACCGTTTACTTTAGCGGTAGCCTGCAGGGTAAGCAGCTCGCTTACTTCCAGCTGACCTTTAAGGGTTCCGGAAACATTGGCAAACGCACATTTAATATCCCCTTCTACCATACCTTTTTCACCTACTACCAGTTTACCGGTAATATTAATAGTTCCTTTGATCTTTCCATCTATCCGGATATCTCCTTTGGACTTTACCTCACCCTCAATAGTGGTGCCTACAAGTATCCGGTTACTAGCCTGATTGGATTCAGAAAGGTTTTTCTTGATCATCCCTTGCTAATTTTTTAAATAGTTCTCTTTGAAGAATTGAAGGTAGGTTTCTATATCCTTATCCTTGTAAAACTTCTGAAAGTTATCTGACGAAATTACAAAATGTTGTGTATCCAATCCTTTAGCTGCCTCCTCTAATATTTTCTGATTGGTTACAGTATTATAATAATCCAGTGCTCTTTTAGCATTGTTGAAGTTACTCACCAGTATCATCTGGTTTTGCATATCCAGAAAAATACTTTTGGTATTAAGGCGGTCAATATTGAAAAATTCCGAATTAAAATCAGTGAGGCGGATACGGGTTTCGTTTACCACTTTACCATTGTTTCCCAAAATCACGATGTACTTGTGTTGTGCGTTCTTATCAACCGCATATAAGGCTTCTTCCTCACCTTCTTGGCCTGCGTTATCTACCCCAGGTATATCCGTAACCTCTTCCATTTGGGCCAGAATAGCGCGCGCTTCTTCAGCTGCTTCTGAGTCGCTGTATTGATCAATAACCAATTTGAGGCTTGTAATAAAGTCTTTACGCCTGCCCAGTTTGATCTGGTTGAAACCTTTTAACAACTGGAACTTAGATCCATAATTGGAGTTCTGAAATTCTTTAGCGCCCTGTATGGCCAATGGTAAAGATTCTTTGTATTCTCCTGACTCGTATTTGCGGTACGCAATGATATACGCTTTTTTAGCCTCGCTCCGGTCTGTAACCGGTTCTCCGGTCTCTTCGCTGCGTATCAGTTCAGCATATTCTGAATCGGCCATATTGGTGAGGATCAAGTCGCGATAATAGGAAGCTTTAGGCTGATCTTTATCAAGTGTGTATATGCGGTATAATGTATACCATATTCGGCCTTTCTCTTCCATATCCGGATAACGGCTCAGCAGTTCTTCAAGCGCCCTGGTAGCTGCGTCATAATCTCCCAAATCATCTTTATAAATGCGGCCCACAGCTATAAATGCATCCTGTATCAACTTATGGCTGGCCGCCATTTCTTCGG